AGAAAAAGAGGAAGACCCCCAATGAGATGGATTGGACAAGTGGCATCATCGATGGACTCAAGCGTGGCAACAGTAGTGAGGTTGGCCCAGGATCAGACAGTGTTTCGTTCTGCTATGCATAAGGTTGCTATGGGTCTGTACCAACTCGATGGTACCTAAACAACAATACATATACAATTCCAAACACTGACCACTGCTCTGAAAAGTATCTTATCACAACTTCATAGCTAAGGACCAAGGCTCAATGACCTACAATAGCTTGCTCAGCATCACACTGATCATAAGACTTGACCAAGATATGACTCCTGGTTCTCCGGACATCAAGCTGCCCTACATGACTCTTAGTTCTTGTTTTTTTCCTGATTTCAAAGGCTGACCTGTACATCTCACAATGTCTCTTCTAGGTGAGGAGCATCCTGGAGCCGAACTTCAAATACCCCTGGCACATCCCTTTCACCCTCAAACCTGAGCTCCTCACCCCACTCCAGGATGAGGGTGTAGATATCACCTATGACCTGCTGGTGGAGTGTGGCTTGAAGATGGAGCAGAATAGCCCCAGGTCAACCTGGAGTTTAGAGGTCAAGGAGCCTCTCTCTGCCCTCTATGGGGTGCTCTCTCTGCTGCAGCAGCTGGCCGATCCCTAAGCCCTGCCTGAAACAAGCAGTCATAGGACTGGGAGACATAGGACCACACCTGTCTGCTTTGGGGAGGGGGGTGCATAGAAACAGGGATTGACTGGAGGGTAGACTTGATGGAGCTATCTGGAAGGAAGGGAATATTCTGTATCTTCATAAGGGTTTATGCAACTTGTAAAACACATCAAATAGTATATTAAAGATTTGAGTATTTCACTGTATGTAGATTGTGCTTCAAAACAATGTAAACAAATCATGAACTCTAATCAGTAATATGTCTTCTGATGTAGTGATTGTTTTTAATTACTTTAGAATGCATTTAAAATATGGTGGTTGGATGGATGGATAGACATGGAACCAAGACAATGTGGTAAAATGGTAATAATTAGGGTGTCTTGGCGAAGGATATACAAGAGTGCTTTTTGATTCTTGAAAAGTTTTGTGATCCTGGAATGGTTTTAAAATAAAAAGTTACCACAATTATATATTATTATTATGTCATTATTCACAGAGCCAAGTGGGAGTGCTCCTCACCCAGCAAAAGTTAAAGGCACTCACCTCACCCACAGACTCTCCAGCCCCCTGTGATGAAGGCCCTGTGACAGGTTCACATTGCCACCCAGTTCCTTCATCTATCCCCCACGATACAGGTCCAGTGGCACCCACTACCACCCCACACTCTGGGTCAGGTGCCCATGGACTAGTATGGCCTTCCATTTTACTCAGCCACATGCTGACCTGAGGATCAGCAACATCTGGCTCTGCCCAGTCCCTATCGCAGGAGCCCTATGAGCAGTGGCACGCAATTCTATGCCAAGCCACCTGCATGTGGGATCCACAGACCAGTAACACCCACTGCTCTACCAAGTCACTGGTACCAGGAGCATGTGAACCACAGGCACCCACTCCTACACCCAATCACCTATGCCAAGGTGCTAATGAACAAGTGGTAAGTCCTATTCTCTGAAGCCATCTGTGTCAGGGGCCTGAGGACCAATGACATACCCTCTTCTGTGTCACACACTAACAGTCATGTCCTCCTAGCACGTACCCATGGACTCATGGCATCTCTCTGCTTCACCCCCAACACCATCCTCCTACTTCATGCAGAGACGTGTGCCTGTTCCAACCACCCCTGCACAGCCCTGCTAAAATGGGACTGCCACAGAGACTTTCCATAAAACTAACCTGTGGCTGGTGACCTCAGCATGACTGCCCCAGCTGCCTGGCAATCCCTAGTACACAGTCAACCCAGCAACCAAGGACAATGCTCCTTGCACCCACATCCAGTTGAACAGCCAGACAGAAATTCCCATCACCAGCAATTCCAAACATATTCTCAGCATCCCCATAAGACCAGCAAACAGAGACTTGTACTCACACGCCCAGCCACTTCCCCACCTACCCAGGACAGTAAAAGGGCCAGTGAGGCTACACTAAGGATCAGAGTACTATGCGCTACTCAGATATTTCAAAACAAAACAAAACTCAGGATGCAGCAAACAAGCACACAATAAATTAATGAATATAACACCTCAATGCCTC